AGAGGCCGCGCAGTTTGGAAGGAACTCTCTCTGGGCCAGACGCATGTCTGAATCAGAGCCAGCCACTCACCTCGCTGACTCCCTGCTCTCTGCTCTGCCCTGACATCCCCCCAGGGCGACCGCTTGCGCAGGCAGGCAGCCACATGTGGCTTAGGGCGGAGTGGCTCACCTGTTGGCCTGCTAACTGCAAGGTCAGCAGTGTGATCCGTGGATCAACCACCAGCTGCTCCGTGGGAGAAAGGGGCGGCTTTCTATGGAGGAGTGGAGGGGAGGGCACACAGGGTAGATTGAGTCAGCCCCCACTGAAGGGCACCTACCAGTAGCAGCAGTAGCGACAGAGTGACAGCCTCGGAATCCCCGCCGAGCAGTTCTGGGGAGTCGCTGTGAGCTGGAAGCAACTGGAAGGCAGTGAGTTGGCATTTTTGAGTTTGGGTTTTCCCCTGGCAAACGTAAATCCGACACCACTGTACCTGCTGGCCTTGCCCCTGGGCCTTGTGCAGCACTCTGGGCGGGAAGACTCCGAGTTTTCCCTGAACCTCAGCCCCTCCTTCGCACAGTGCCACCTAGACCGGCCTCTTTGCTGCACTGGGCAGTGGACTTGCTCACATTTCTCCCTCTTGACTGCTTATAATTTAAATTCAATTTCACAATGTTTAACTTTCAGCCATCTCACAGGCCCGCTAAAGAGATGAGAGTGACATATATATATTTTTTTCTGTTACACTTATCGCTAGAGTCTTGCCCAGCCCTGCCCTACCGGAACTTCCTTGACCACCTGTGGTGCCCTTTCTTCTGTGAGGGAGGCAAGTGCCTTGCAGCGGGTAGTGCGCTGGGTGGAACGGGCAATGATCCAGGTCACAGGGATCAAGGATGAGGAGGGCTCGGGGTTTTCTGTAGCAGCCCTTCACTGGAGGATTGTGGGATTGTAGCTTTTATTGGGGTTCCTGGAGGGGCTCTGTCCTTCCATCTCTCTGCAGAGGGTGGACGACTTCGTTTCCGTCTGACTAAGAGAGGGCACATCTGTTCATGGACATTTTCATTGAGAATGAAAATGCTCTGCTGTTCCTACATCATGCATTCTGGGTCCTCCATCTGCAGACATTGAAACCCCCCCCCCCCCACAGTGTTCTCTGGATGGCACCATTGTCATACAGAGAGCTTGAGGTTCTCCCGTGTATGTGACTCTGTATATATCTCTGTGTGTAAGGGGTGTGTCTATTTGGCTATCTGTTGACTGTCTGTCCCATCCTACCTGAAGATCCTGGTTTCTGTTGCTCTCTCCGTTTCTTCCCCTTGGAGTCTAATGCAGGGATCTCAAACCAAGGGCCTCCTAGGGCCAGGTGGGAATTGTTCAGGGAGTGAAGCAGGTCAGGGCCCTGTGAGCCCAGGTTCCACGACTGTTTGGCTCAGTCCAGATCAGGACCCCAGACCAGAGCAGGTTTTCAATGTAAAACTCTCTATTTTTAGCCATCAGCTACTAATTCAAAAATTAAAACTACAACACAGCACCAAAACACACTCATGGGCCAGATTTGGCTTCTGGGGGCCATTTTACAATTTCTGTTCTGGAAGAAACCATGAAGGTCTTGAGTACTTTCTCAGCCTTGCACTGCCCTTGATTTGCCCTAGTGTCAATTTCATCATCTGTGCAATGGAAGCTAAGCCTGCATGCAAAGGCTGCTGTTGAACTAATGTGTCGTGGAGTGAGTGCCCGGTGGAACCTTCTCACTGCCATCTAGTCAACGCTGACTCATAGTGACCCCATAGAACCTGGTAGAACTACACCGTGAGTTTCCTAGATTCTGAGACTATAACTCTTAATGGGAGTAGAAAGCCTAGAGAGGTTTTCTCAAGGCCAGGCGGGAGAAGCTGGTGCTTCCAAACTGTGGAGTCACCACCCTGCCACCAGGGCTCCTTGAGTGGAGCTGTAACATCCACTAATGAAGCCACAACCAAGTGACCTTTCTCGCGCCTTCCTTCTGATGCTCCCTCTTCCTTTATGTCTCTGACTCTTTCTCCATGGTCTCCTCCTGTCTCTTCTTCCTGTGGGGGGAAGTCAGATACTTGCTGCCAGACTGCTGTCTCATCCCACAGCAGGGCTGGGCCTGCTCCCTGCTGCTGGAGACAATAGACTACCTCTCTCTGGAGCCTAAGGCCATTAGCTTGGTTCCTGTAGGAGGGGTTTGCACCCTACTGATAATGTTCCTATGGAGACCCAGTGCAGCCCCTCCCTGTGACGTATGTCTCTACCTGTAATTAGTGGGCTGGCTTGCCCCCAAAAGGTATATAGGCATGGGTCAGCAATATAGGCTCGGACTTCTCTCTCAGACTCTGACCTCCCTGACTCTTCCCCCTCTCCCTTGTTCCCTTTCCCTCCTTCCCTTCCCCCTCTCTCCACATGGACCACCAAGCTGGGCTGAGGTGAGCAATGTTGCTATGTATCATGCCTGACTGTATTATTGTATTATCTCTCATGCTCTTGATGACTTTAATATAATACTTATATATCTCAACCGTACAATTGTGCATTACTGAACCCAGAAGTAGTATTACTGAACTCGTAGGAGTAGCAGCGGGTGGGGGCTGGCTCCTCACCTCCCACAGCATTATTTTTTAATTTAATATTACATCTTCCCTCCCACCTTCACCCACTGTGGCTCTCCCTCTCTCCTTTCTCATGTTGCCACCACAGTTGGTCTTGCTTCAAATGATCCTATCTCCTCTAGAGCAGCCCTAGTTCCTTCCAGAACCTTTTGCCTCTGACCTCTACTCCAGTTCCCATTAGATCTCTCTTGCGCTTTGTTTCATGTGAGTTCATCTTTCTTTGACATGGTTCTTATTCACCCCTCCTCTCTCTGTCAGCCACTCTTCATTCTGCTGTTGCCATTCTCCACTGCCCTTATAGACTGACTCCTCACCCCACTCCCGCTACTAATCATGCTAATGCACACCGATAAACCCACGTTCAAACAAGCCTCTCCCGGGGGGCCAGTTTCTGCCTTGAATCAGACTCTTCCCTCTAGATGCTCTGGCTCCTCCCACGGCTGCCACCTGGACTAACCATCCCTTTGTGTAATTAGGGAAGCGTGCATTCTTCTGGAGCTGACAAGAATGCAGCAGATGGATTGGCTACAAATTGGATTCCAGCTCCTTGTTCCCCCATGGCCAGGAGTTGGTGTTTAGGACACAAGCTACACAACTATATATGGTGACCTTGATCTTTCCCCAGCTCCTCACATCTCCATATTCCACCAGATGTCTTCACCTTCTGACCTTTCCATGTGGTTACAGCTCTCTACTCCTTATCTTCCATGTCTCCATCCATGTCTTGGCCCTTCATAGTCCTCCCTCCATGGGGCCAGTACTGGCCCTTTAACCACAGCCCAGGTGTTCTTCCCTCCCTTCAGATCCCCCAGATCAGCTATGCCTCCACAGCCCCAGAGCTCAGCGATTCCACACGCTATGACTTCTTCTCCCGCGTGGTGCCACCAGACTCCTACCAGGCCCAGGCCATGGTGGACATTGTGCGAGCCCTGGGGTGGAACTATGTGTCCACACTGGCGTCTGAGGGCAACTATGGAGAGAGTGGGGTTGAAGCCTTTGTGCAGATCTCCCGTGAGGCTGGTGAGTGGTTGGATGGGGGAGAGAGCTGTCTGAGGCATCAAGGAGTCTGCAGGGGTGTGTGGTACAGGCTATTGGATGGGGCAGGAAGTCGTAGGGTGCGAACACAGAGTCCATGTTGGACCTCAGGGATGTCAGCCTGGATTGGCCTCTGTGAGTGGGTCAGGGCTTGGCAGGCAGACAGAGCTATGTGTAGGAGAAAGGGTTTAATGGACTCGTGGCATAGCAAGTGGAGCCTAGGCTAGATTCTACCCCTCTTGGCCCTTTGCCAGAGCCCATGTGCTGATGATAAGCTCAGAAGTCATCCTAGTGGTGGCCTTGTGGGTTTGGGACCAAGGCTTAACTTAAGCATCCTGACACCCAGGAGGCGTCTGTATTGCACAGTCCATCAAGATCCCCAGGGAACCAAAGCCTGGAGAATTCAACAAGGTGATCAAGCGACTTATGGAGACACCTAATGCCCGTGGCATCATCATCTTTGCCAACGAGGATGACATCAGGTGGGCCAGCATGTGTTCATTGTTTGGTCTCTGAAGTCTCTCCCTGCATGCCCTGCATCTCACTCATATATACCCACTAGATATGTACTTACCACTCTCCATATTACTTTATCCTACCCACTCAAGCCCCCCTGCTGCCAATCATTGTGTCTGGTCCCCCAGAACGGTCCCAAACTGCTCTGGGATGAAGCCGCCCCAACTAAACCAGGAAAACGTACACAAATACTTGCCTGGTCATATAATCCAGAGTTGGGGTTGAATGGGTACGGACCAGCTGTATATGTAGAGAAAAAGCTGTTTGGACTGAGCCCAGGGCACTGCAGAGGATATCAATAAAAGGAATTGTGGATACGGAGTCTGGGCATGATGGTAGGTGTCAGCACAGAGGGCTGTAGAGAGGGAGCCTGACATACAGATGGTGTCTGAAAGGCCCTGCCCAAGCGGAGGACCCTCTGCCATTTGGGAGGTACTGAAGGCTGAGTATCTGGGAGAGGGGAACTTCTGAGTGTCCTCAGCATTCTCAAAGGAGTTCCTCCAAAGGCCACCAGGAAGCACGTTATGATGGACAAAGCAAGTGGCCTGGCTTCGGGTCAGAACCAGGGTTAGTGATTTATTGAGAAGTCTCCTAAATATGCCACATTTTTGTTCTTAAAGCGGCGTCTCTCAGCGGTGTGGGGAGGGACGGGAAGCTAAAGAAGAATGGGGAAAAGCTAGGGATAATTCGGAGAGGGATTGGGCCCTCGCTCACCCCCCAGCTCTGTGTTACCAGGAGGGTGCTGGAGGCTGCGCGCCAGGCCAACCTGACGGGCCACTTCCTGTGGGTCGGCTCAGACAGCTGGGGATCCAAGACTGCACCCATCCTGAACCTAGAAGACGTGGCCTTGGGGGCCATCACCATCCTGCCCAAAAGGGCTTCTATTGACGGTGAGTGGTAGGGGTCGCTCCCACCTTGTTTGTCCTTTACCCTCATGCCCTCCATGTACTCATTTCCCGCCTGTGTGACAAGGCGCCCCAGAGGTGTAGTGAGCTACAGACTCTCCTTGGGTGGAAGAGGAGTCTGTCCGCTGGCATAAAGATTTAAAATCTTAGAGACCCAAAAGGGAAGTTCATACAGGACCTCCATCCCACAGAGTCGCTATGAGTCAGAATCAGCTCGATGGCAGTGAGTGTCATGTGCAGTGTTAGAATTCTCACCTTCCACATGGAAGACCCAGGTGATTCCCAGTCCATGCACCTCATGCGCATTCGGCCAGAGGAGGCTTCTTTGCTACTTTGATGCCAAAGAGGTTTCAGCAGAGCTTCCAGACAAAGGTGGACTAGGAATAAGGGTCTAGCAATCTCCTTCTGAAAATCAGTCAACGAAAACCTTATTGAGTGCAAAGATCTTATCTAACTGATCATGGGAAGGGCCCAGAACCAGGCAGCACTCTGCTCTGTCATGCATGGGCTTGCCATTAGTGGAGGCTTACTGAATGGCAGCTTATCAAACACATATGATTGGTACCGTAATCCACAAACCTCCTAGGATTCCCAGATTTTCTGGGTCTGAGTATATTTCTTGAAGCTGTATTTCAAGGGTGTGCTGTGTGAAGAAAAGCCTTGTACAGGGGGAAGAAATGTTTTTCCAAAATTCCATACCTGTATTGTGGTTCTACCAAAAAAGTGGCCGTGTTCTCCTTTAGCAGGGAGCAGGGTGCTGAGAAATAAAGAATCTGGAAGATAGCATCATGCTAATGATTATGACCAAACTTGCCCCGCCTTCCTAATCTCTCCCCATCCCACCTGGGAAGCGACACAGTTGGGGGTGGGGTGGGGCAAGGCAGCCCCCCCACCTCCGTATTGCTCTCTCTCTCAGGGTTTGACCAATACTTCATGACCCGCTCTCTGGAGAACAACCGCCGCAACATCTGGTTCGCTGAGTTCTGGGAAGAAAATTTTAACTGCAAACTGACCAGCTCAGGTACCCAGCCAGATGATTCCCCTCGTAAGTGCACAGGTGAGTGCTGCCCGGAATGGTAAGGGTGGTGGGGAAAAATGTAGGGGCCAGCTCAGGTACTTGCATGCCAGGCATCCCTCCTGGCTCCTGGCTCCTGGTCTCAGGGGTGGTGCGTCCCTAGGACAGGCGAAGAACGGATTGGCCGGGACTCCACCTACGAGCAGGAGGGGAAGGTGCAGTTTGTGATTGATGCTGTGTATGCCATTGCCCACGCCCTCCACAGCATGCACCAGGCACTCTGCCCTGGGCACACAGGCCTATGCCCAGCCATGGAGCCCACTGATGGGCGGACATTGCTGCAGTATATTCGAGCCGTCCGCTTTAACGGTGAGTGGATGCTAGCATTCCTGTGGGGAAGGGGAATGCCCCTGGGTCAGATTTCTGTTTGGGACTTGAGAGGACTCAGGATGGAAGGGGCAGGAGAGGCAGAATGACATGGCAGGCACCTGAAGCTGAGGGCTGAAGGACAGAGCCAAGTTGTGGTACCCACTTACATTTTTTTTAATGCGGCTAGCCTGAGAGCTGCTTATGTACACTGGGCATGTCTATATTTATAGGCTTTCCCCTCAACACACACACACACACACACACACACACTATCATTAAGTCCATTCTGACTCACAGTGACCCTATAGGACAGGGTAGAACTTTCCCTGTGGTTTTCCAAGACTATATCTTATTCTGTATATGAAATCCAGGGTAGGCAAATCTTTAGAGACAGCAAGTGTATTTAAGAGTTTGCTAGGGACATGGCAGGAGAGATTGAGGAGCTAACAATAATGAGTATAAAGAAGAAGAAATGTCCAAGCTCTCTTAATATCACACTGGAACAACACCACAGGGGGCAAAATAAACTTTTAAAAAGAAAGAAACTGACTTCAAACTGGTACCAGTTTGAACTATCCTGTAGACCTTGGCCAAGGTCCGAGCTCAGCCTCTGGCCTGGGCCGTCAGACTCCTTGAGGCTGGCTGGGCCACATGACCTCTCTAGGAGGTGGCTGTGATGGGCAGGGACCCAGCTGAGGATGACAGGCTCTCCCCTAGGCAGTGCGGGCACCCCCGTGATGTTCAACGAGAATGGAGATGCGCCCGGGCGCTATGACATCTTCCAGTACCAGGCGGCCAATGGCAGTGCGGACAGTGGCGGGTACCAGGCTGTGGGCCAGTGGGCAGAGATCCTCAGGCTCGATGTGAGTAGTAGCTCAGAGCACGGTCTTCAAGAGGTGCCCCCACCCCCGCCTTCCCCTGCTCCTTCTGGACTGGGGTAGTCACAGCTCTGTCTCTCCCTTGTCCTAGGTGGAAGCGCTTCAGTGGTTAGGCGACTCCCTCGAAGTGCCCCCATCTCAGTGTAGCCTCCCCTGTGGGCCAGGTGAGAGGAAAAAGATGGTGAAGGGCGTCCCCTGCTGCTGGCACTGCGAGGCCTGTGACGGGTACCGCTTCCAGGTAGACGAGTTCACGTGTGAGGCCTGCCCTAGGGACATGAGGCCCACTCCCAACCACACAGGCTGCCGCCCCACACCTGTGGTGAGCCTCACCTGGTCCTCCCCTTGGGCAGCTCCTCCCCTCCTCCTGGCCGTGTCGGGCATCGTGGCAACGACCACGGTGGTGGTCACTTTTATGCTGCACAACAACACACCCATCGTGCGGGCGTCTGGCCGAGAGCTCAGCTATGTGCTGCTCACCGGTATCTTCCTCATCTATGCCATCACCTTCCTCCTCGTAGCAGAGCCCGGGGCCGCCATTTGTGCTGCCCGAAGGCTCTTCCTTGGCCTTGGCACCACCCTCAGCTACTCTGCCTTGCTCACCAAGACCAACCGCATCTACCGGATCTTCGAGCAGGGAAAGCGCTCGGTCTCACCCCCACCCTTCATCAGCCCCACGTCGCAGCTTGTCATTACCTTCAGTCTCACATCTGTGCAGGTGGGTCCTCGAGAACTCCAGGTTGGCAGGATGGGTGGGTTGGAGGCTGTGGGTGAGGATGGGTTAATCCCTTAGGGCTCTTGTAACAAAGTACCACAAAGAGAGTGGCTTACACAACAGACATGTTCTAGCTCACAGTTACAGATGCTCCTCTAAAATCAGGGTATTGCCAGGGCCATGATTCCTCTGAAAGCTCGTGGAGGAGACCTTCTCTCTCGCAGCTCTGATAACCCCTGGCTTGTAGACAGATCTCTCCATCTCTGTCTCTGTCATCCCATGGCTGTCTTCCCTCTGAATCGGCAGCTCTGCTTTTCATTTATTCAAGCGCAACTTATATTGGATTGGAAAACCAAACTCACTGCCATCAAGTGAATGCCAACTCACGGCAAACTTAGAGGACAGGGCATAACTACCCCCGTGAGCTTCCAAGACTGTAGCTCTTTTCCAGAGAAGAAAGCACTGTCTAGGACCCACCATAGTCTGATGCGACCTCAACGAGCCTATTTCTAAACAAGGTTGTCTTCACAGAGACAGGAGTTAAGGCTTGCTGTAGCATCCTTTATTTAGGGGGGGAATGCAGCCCATAACAGGATGATGGATGCATTCAAATCCATCCATCAATCAGGGCGATCCTATTTCCAACGTGAGCCCCTCTTCTATGTTGGCTCCCATGTTAAAATGAAAATAGCCCAGAAGATGGAGTCCTACCATTTTCAGGAGTGAGAAGGACTCATGTAAGAGCAGTCGTTCTTCTCCTTCTGCCGACACACCCTCCACATGCAATCTCTGAAGGAAAGTAGGCCGGAAGGTGGGAAATGTGAGCGTCCTGGTAGCATAGTGGGTTGCGCACAAGGCTCTTGTTTGGATCCTGCAGTCGCTCTGTGGGAGAAAGCTTTCTGCTCCAGGAAAGATTTGCCGTCTCAGAAGCTCACAAGGACACTGGCCCCTTGTCCTATGGGGTTGCTAGGAGCTGGAACAGACTCGATGGCAGTTTTTTTAATGTCAAACATGGACATTGTTTTTATGACCTACTTTCTCCCACAATTTAGATCGTATAAAATATAAAGAAAAGGGTTCAATGATTTCCCTCTAGCAAATAATCTACTTCAATGCAGTAAGCCCAGCTGCCCAGTTCACCGCGATACCTGGATGAGAGGCACCGGGAGCACTGGTTTTTTTCCTGTGGAGTGGAACATCTAGTTCCATAGCTCATGTCTATGACATACTGGGTGCTGATTTTTAGTCACTTACATGGGTTGCCAAAATAGGTGCAATGCCTTTTGGTCATCAGTTCGATGCACCAGAGCTGGTTTTCGTTTCTCATGGGGAATTTTCCTTCTCAATCTCCAGTCTTTTCTTAGGAGGAACTTTCTTTTAAGCCAGGGGGAACCTGAACACCAAACCGATTGCTACGGAGTCTATTCTGACTCGTAACGACCCTCTCAGATCTCGAGGCAAATCTTCAGGGGAGCAGATGTCTCATCTTTCTCCCCTGTGGATTTGAGCTGCAGACTTTGCGCTTAGCTAGCTGATGCTCGACAGCGCCACCTAGCCAGCAGATGGGGTATTATTTCACTCCTCGCTCATGTAGCAGTCAACAGAGTCGTTGCCTTGGTGCTTCCCCTTGTCCCCCACCCCCCAAAAACAAACACCACAAACAAACCCAAGTTCAGTGCCATGAATCTATTCTTACACTTAGTGACCTTACAGGACAGGGCAGAACAGGCCCCATAGGTTTCCAAGATGGTATCTGTTAGGGGCCACCTATTTCTCCTGATGAGCAGCAGCTTGTGGTTTAGAACTGCTGACCTTGTGGCTAGCACCCCAACGTGTAACTACTACACCACCAGGGCTGCACACACACATAAAAGTGCGCCTTTAGGGCCAGACCAAAAGTCATTGCCATTGAGTCTTTACTGACTCATAATTACTGCCTCTTTGGAGAACCGAGACCTTCTGTCCTCCCTTAGAGTCTGTGTCTGGCACGGACACCACTCACTTTCTCACCTTATCAAACACCTCTGTGTTTCATTTGTCTGAGAAGTTTCTTTGAGTATCACAACGCATCCACTCACCATTTTATTGTATTTTTCTCAGCAGTTCTCTGCATTTAGAGGAGGACTAGGGCCCTCAGAAATGAAATTTGCATGATGTTAATAACAACCAGGAGTCCCTGGGTGTCACAAACATTTAAGCACTCTGCTACTAGCCTAAAGGTTGGTGGTGCCAAGCCACCCAGAGTTGGCTCTGAAGAACAGTTTATCAATCCTCTGAAAAATTAGCCAACGAAAACCCAATTGAGCACAGTTCTCCCCTGACATCCATGGAGTTGCCATGAGTCAAATCCACCCCATGGCAACTGGTTTGGTTTTTTTGTTTTTTTTTATTTTGAATTGATTAAGTTAGCATGGGTTCACAACTACTGATAAGCTAGTGATGCTGTCTAGCCTTTTAAGAGAAGTACAGAGAACATCTCTTCAGAAGCTGGCTGTTTGTATGTAGGACATGTACCACCTAACCTCCCTAATTGGTACTTTGTCCTCACAACACCATTCTGAGGCTTTTTCCTCTCTAGATGGAGAAACGGAGGCCAGGAGAGAAGTGTTCAGAATTACATAGTTTGCTTAGGACATGGTGGTGGTAATGGGTAGAACACAGGAAAAGGAAAATGATGTCAAGTTGCCTCATACTAAGCTAGACCTGACACTGCTCATGCATACCTCCACTACAGCCCCTTCTCTCTACTAGGCTGTATCCCAGACCTCTGCTCAGGAAATTCCCCAACACCAGGACTTCCCTCCCTTCTTTATGGTGGTTCTATCAGGCCCGGCACTACCATTTAGGCAGAGAGTTTTAGGGGAATCTTGTTATGCTGGAAACCTAGACCAGGAACTAAGGGGGCTAGCTCCTGGAGGAGGCCATGGTTAGGATATGGCACTGGTTCCCGCAGGTGCTGGGAGTGGTGGCATGGATGGGGGCCCAGCCTCCACACAGTGTGATCGACTATGAAGAGCAGCGGACAGTGGATCCAGAGCAGGCCAGAGGGGTGCTCAAGTGTGACATGTCCGATCTCTCCCTCATCGGCTGCCTGTGCTACAGCCTTGTTCTCATGGTTACGTGCACAGTGTACGCCATCAAGGCCCGCGGTGTGCCAGAGACCTTCAACGAGGCCAAACCCATTGGCTTCACCATGTACACCACCTGCATCATCTGGCTGGCTTTTGTGCCTATATTCTTTGGCACTGCCCAATCCGCTGAAAAGGTAATCTGGGGTCCCCCAGGAGGTTGGACCCCCTCATTTGGTCCCTTTCTGTCTTGGGCCTAATTGTTCCAAGAGCTGAGCCATCCATTTGGATGCTTGAATCTTTGCTGGTTGCTTGCTCAGTGACTCATTTGTGTATTTAAATCCTTGTTCACTCATTGTTTTTCTAATATCCCTCTGCTTCTCCACTCAGCCATCCCCCTATTCCTTTGTTACCTCATCCATTGACTCATCCGCTCTCCTATCCATCCACTAACAAATAATATTTTATTTGTCTGCCCATTAATCCATTTCGGCTCACTTGCTTAAACATTAATTTAGTCATTTGTTCATATATCTTTGGTAGAACATTTATTTTTTCATCTGTTTAATTCATTTGCCCATTTGCTCCTTTACTCATTGATGAATTCATTCATTTGTATATTTGAAAACATGTTCAGTCATTCACTCATAAGCCCTAGATTATTTTAGGCTTACAGATGATTTTCCCAGGTCTCCCTATTAATTCCTTCCTTCCTACCCTCAATGACTTGTTCGTTCAGTCCAATGTCACCATCCTCCTTACTTTCCGCACCAAAGGCACACAGTAACCACCACCAGGCTCTTAATCCCACCAAGCTTTTTGCTTTTGCTGCTGTCTTTTCCCAAGTGGTCATTGTAACCCATCTTCCCCAACTAACATAGTCACCTCTAGTCTATGTGGCAGCAGAATTGTAGGGGTTGTGCAGAGCATGTGACTGAGACCCATCTCGCCCCTTCTCCCCTGACTTAGATCTATATCCAGACAACTACACTAACGGTGTCCTTGAGCCTCAGTGCATCCGTGTCCCTTGGCATGCTCTACGTCCCGAAAACCTACGTCATCCTCCTTCACCCGGAACAGAATGTGCAGAAGCGGAAGCGAAGCCTCAAAGCAACCTCCACAATTGCAGCCCCTCCTAAAGGGGAGGGCACAGAAGACAAGTAGCGGGTGTGGGATGCACAGGACTTGCTGCCCCATCTTCTCTTTTCTTCCCTCCACTTCATGGTGGAAATTGTAGAGTACAAGTCCTAGAGTTCAGGGAGTCCAGGAAGGCCACACCGAGCATGAAAGGGTCTGCCCCTCACTGAAAAGGGGGATGTATGCACCACGTTTACCCCTACTTTTGTCTGTATGTAAATGTCATGACTCCTCATTGCAGACCAGGCTTCCTAATCATGGTGGGAAATAGCCACTGAGAGGGTCTCACCACTCTGCATTTACACTCTGGTCTGAAGTTCAAGCAATGGCGCTCTGGATGTGGCCTAGTTGGAGACACACTTCTAGCCTTCAATCAAGGCTTTACTATGCAGTACTTATTAGAATTCTCTCCTGTATGAGTTCCGAGTGGCTTATTTTCGTATTCACTTTTGATTATCTCTACAACATGAACCATCTTATGTAGAGGGTGGGGTTGCATTCTCCATTACTAAAGATGTTACGATCTTTTAATTCCATCTTCCATGAACTTGTAAAAGTCCCCTCATGTTTAAGCATTTGTAAGGTTTTCTCCATTTTGAATGATCTGATGTATATCAAAAGTATGATTTCCAGAGGAGTGTTTTACTCATCGAATATGTAGTTTTCTCTCTTTGATAATTTATCTGATGTTAAGTGTGGGCTGACAGCTCCTTGAAGATTTCCCCACAATTTTTGCACTCATAGTTTTTTAGTTTCTGATCCCCAGATCAGGGTTTTCCTCATTTTATTGTTTCTTGGTTTGTCTCCTAAATTCAATGAAATGCAGTGAGTTTTGACTAATTGAAACCCTTTTTATAGTATACAAGAGAACTTTAGGCAGTTCATGAAAAAATTCCACATTCTCAGTAACATTTTTCATGAACTTTTTGAAGTCCCCTTGTGTGTGTATGTATAAAAGAATCCCTGACGGTATAGTGGATTTAGTGTTGACTGCTTACCACAGGGTTAGTAGTTCAAACTCACCAGCTGTTCTGTGGGAGAAAAATGAAGCTGTCTGCTTCCATAAAAATGCATAGCTTCAAAAACCTTAAGGAGCACTTGTACTCTGTTCTGTAGGATCACTATGAATCAGAATAGGCTCGATGGTCATGAATATATATATATATGTGTGTGTGTGTGTGTATATATATATACCACTCCAAAGCAAGTTTGTCTTTTTATGGGCTTTCTCTCATTCAGTCCACTTGTACAAGAAGTGATCTCTAGAGCATATACATATAGTATTTGTGGGATCCCCCCACCCCAATATGAACTCAGACTTAAGAGTTAGAATGATTTCTAACTAGAAGCTTTTTCACATTGATTGCATTTAGAAACTGTATCTCCAGGGTGAGGGTTTTGACTTAGTGTGCTGGCTTCCTGCTGATTTCCTCATATTCCACATTATTTAATATATTTTTTACTATATTCGTCTCTAATGTGAATTCCTTACTGTACAATGTCTTAGTTACCATGAACTGCTGTAACACAAATACACGGGAATTTATGTTCTCACACTTCAGAAAGCTAGGAGTTTGAATTCCTCATCTGACTCTAGGAGGAGGGCCTTCATTTTGTTTCAGCTTCTACGAATTACTTGCAATCATTATATGTGCATTTGCTCTATCTTTTGTTTTTTCTCGCTGTGTGTCTCTGTGTATATTCTGACCTTTTTATAACTCAGTGGTTAAGTTTAGGTTGTACCATATGCTGGTGTGACATCAATTGATGGATTGCATTAGATTGTGTTATGGGTCATGATTACATTATGGAAAGTAATTGTATTACATTGTGTTATGGAACAGCAACTAGACTAGTGTTTGCCAAATTACCAGGAACCATAACCCAGTCAGAGAAGCCCCGGTGGCCTAGTGGTTATATGTTGGGTTGGGCTTCTAACTACGAGGTAAGCAGTTCAAAACCACTAAAGGGTTCTCTCCTATATGAATTCTGGGTGGGATATGAATTCTCAGATGCTCTATGGGAGAAAAAATGAGGCTTTTTACTCCTGTAAAGAGTTAGAGCCTTGGAAACTCACATGGGAAGTCCTACTCTATCCTAAAGGGTTGCTGAATTGGCACTGACTCAATGGGAGTGAGTTTTTTTCCTCCTAATTCAGCCAACTTGATACATAAAATTAACCATCACACCAAAGCAAGTTTTGTCTTTGTATAGACTTTCTCTCATTCAGTCTACTTCTATAAGAAGTGATCTCTATAGCATGAGTGCTCTCATGTTCATTGGTGACATTCTCAATTATTAAAGGTTTTATTACATGTATAGGGGTTTTTCCTTTTCTAATTCACTCTCTATAAAGGTATGATTTCTAGACAACGTTTTTCCACATTCACTATTTGTATAAAGTTCAATCTCCCTCTGATAATTTCTTTGATGATATTTAGTTAGGGTTTAAAACTTCCTGAAGGGTTTCCTTTTTTTTTCCTCTTCCATTTACAGTTTTTTCATTCTCTGAAGGATCCTGCTCTCACATTTGTGGAATTTATAAGACATGCTGCCTGGAAGGTTTCTCTTATGTTAATTAAAAGTTAAGCTATACCTGAAGGCATTTTCATATGCATAGTCTTTGAATGACCTCCTCAGTTTGACTTATATGCTCCAGTGGAAATGAACTTCTATATTGCAAGCTTTTCCTACATTGATTACAATTACAGGACATATCTGCAGTGTGACTTCTCAAAAACAAAGATAAAATGGTGATCTATACTTTCCCTCACCTATTCATAAGGTTTTTCACCTGGGTTCAATGAGTTCTGATTGAGATAGGAAGGCTTCTTTGTATTAATTGTATTAGTTATAATATATTATGCTTTCATCAGTTTGAATTGTCTGAAGCATTTATGATAGCGTTGTCACATTTGTTACATGTTTTTCCTCTTTGGAAAATTTATCTTAGGTCATTGCACTCATTGTCTCTCACTTCAGTGAGTGACAGCTATCTAAATAAACGTAACTTTTCCTAAAAGTTTGATGTGGGTTGCCTTTTGCTTATTTAAATAATTATCATTTTTTAAACTGCTTGAAATGAAATACATGCACAATTCCAAGTTAATATTCCTGCCGGCATTTTTAGGATGAAACCTCCTAAGACAGAACTCATTGTCACACTTGATTTGCAAGTTTGTAAACTCCTAAGTGTGAACATTTTTCATCACCTGGACTTGGAGGGAAAAACTGCTTCTAAATGGACCAACAAAATATTCATAGTTAAACTACAAGTCGTATTGGGAGTTTCAAAGATTCAACTTATGGGGAAAGAATAAAGAAATACAAAGAGATGGAATGAAGAGGGGATAAGATTCTGAACAGGGAGAGACTGGGTGAAAAAGGTAGACAAGATGTACACACGCAAACCAATGGAAGAATTGAACTGGAAATTGTAAGGCTTGTCACTTTACTTGTAGATTACCATGGCAGGATTCCAACTCATCTTTTTTTTTTTCCCAACTCATCTTTCTGTTTGTTTTATCTTCTCTTCCCCATACAGTTTTAAAATTTTAAATAATTTTTAAGTTTTATAACTTAATTTATAAAAATTTTCCATGACATCACTTCACCCAGCAGATCCTCTCTCAGCCCCTCCCTTTCCTTGTAATGAATGTTTGGTCTAGCCTGCTGACTCAGAAACAAAACAGCAAGAAGGAGCCATGAGTTTACAGGTACTGCCATTTAAATCAGACAGTCTTATGGTTAACCTTGCAGAGGATGACAGATTGAAGAAGAATGGTGTCACATTGATCTTCAAAAAGAACATTTCAAGATGTTGAAGTAGAGTGCTGTCTATGATAAGATACTATCCATATGCTCGCTTTGAGGACTATGGTGCACCTGAGTCAAACCAGGTTATTTCAAGTTGCTTCTGATGCATGAAAAAATTGGACAATGAATATGGAAGACCATATGGAATGTGGAAGAGAATTAATGCTTTTGAATTATAGTATTGGTGACAAATATCGAATATACCATGTACTACTTGGAGAATGAACAAACACATCTTGTTAAAAGTACATATACTAGAATTCTCCTTAGAGATGAGAATGAGACTTCTTAGGTACTTTGGATGTGTTATTAAGAAGGACCAGTCTCTGAAGAAAGATATACTGTTGGGTGTTAAGTCTGGAGTCAGCTAAAAAGAGGAAGAACCCCAATAAGATGGAATGATACAGTGGCTGCAACAGTGGGTTCTAATCGAGCAGCAGTTCGATGAGGATGGTGTAGGGCCAGGCAGTGTTTCATTCTGTTGTACATGGGTTGCTTGAGTCCGAGTCAACTCACTGATAGATGTCTTTTCACATCGATACCTACCAAGAATATACTTGATACCTAACCAAAAAGAAAAATGCAAGCCCAGATGGTCTCACCAATGAGATCTACCTGAGTTTTGCAGAGCAAATAATTCCAACTCACACAAATTCTTCCATAGACTAAAAATAAATAATTCCCAAGATCATTTTATAAAGGTGACATAGTCTTGAAGCCAAAATCAAATGAAGCTCATAGATAAGAGAAAAATTATAGGACAATCTCATTCCTGAACAGACATGAAAAAAATCCTAAGAACTATCAGTAAACAACTTCTAACTATATAGTGTGATGAAACTGGGTTTATTCCAGGAATACCAAAATAGTTCAAATGAGAAAATTTATGTAATTCACTGTACATGGGGGATTTGAAGGTTCGTGGAAAAATTCCATTATCTTTTCATCCTATTTGCATGAATTTTTGGAAGCCCTTTCTTTGATCATTATGCTCACCTTATTAGATTCAACAGTTGCTGAGTAGCATTTGATAAAACTCAACAACTACTAATGACAAGGATTTTAAAAAATCAAACACAAGGAACTGAAAAGACTTATTTAACCTGATAAGAATGTATTGACTAATTTACATGCCATCTGTCTATAAAGGAAACTTCAATGTAATCACAACAACCCTGTTGTTGTTGCTAAGTGCCTGGTTGGTTCCTACTCAAAATGACTCTACGTTCAGCAGAAGGAAACACTGTCCAATCCTGCGCATCTTCACAATCATTTCTGTGTTTGATCCCATTGTTGCAGCCACAGTGTTAACCCCCCCTCATTGATGTTCTTTCTCCTTTTGGCTGATCCTCTACTTTCCTAAGCATGGTACTTTCTCCAGAGGGCTGTCGCTCAGGATGACGTCCAAAGTATGTGAGACAAGTTCCAAGGAACATGACTGCCGTACTTCTTGGTCTACAGTTGCCTTGAGCATTGTAGTATCCCTTCTTGTCCCTTTTTATGGTTTGCACTTTGAGAGCAATTTTATCTGACATTAGGATTACAACTCCTGCTTTTTTTGCATTATTTGCTTTGTATGTTTTTCTCCAGCCTTTGATTCTCAGCCTATTTTTGTCTGTAATCCTGAGATGTATCTCCTGTAGGCAGCAGATCGAGGAGCTGTGTTTTCTAAGCCAATCTGTTAGTCTCTGTCTCTTAAGGTCTGAGTTCATTCCATTGATATTCAAGGTTATTACATCTATTTGTGGACTCTGTGATGTCATTTTATCTCTCTTGTGTTGGTTTTTTTCCTACCTTCATTTCTTCTTTGTGGGTTGTACATGTGTGTGTGGTTCATTCTTGCCTTCTTTCCATCATTGAGCCAATGTTATCTTGGGGGCTGTTTCCCCTTTAATGGTCTCTGGGTGTTGTTGTTCTGTGTGGCGGTCTCTTGTATGTGCTTGGTGAGTGTTGTTGTTCTGCCCATATTGGGTCGGTGAGGATCTTTTGTAGTTCTGGATTCCTTTTAGTATATTATTTGAGATTTTCCTTGTCCGGGAGGATGCTCACTTTTCCATCAACTTTGATAATTTGGCTGGATAGAGTACTTAGTTTTGTATTTTCTCCTATCAACTATCATAGTTGGATAGTTTAACAACTATGTCTTGGTGACTTCTTGGGATTCAGTCTAGCTGGTGTTGTTTTGGCCTCCTGGATGTTTGCCTGTTTTCATTTATTA